GAGTAACACACTGCAAGGCTTCTCCGCAACAGTGTACCCCAATCGGACATTTACAGTATTCCTAGAAATCACAGAAACCCATGGCTGTGCCAAGGCCTGTATTTTGATAAAGATATGGGTCAACATCTCTGAAAGACTAGGCAATCCCTCCAAAGCGTGTAATTGATAATGCAAATGAAACTCGCTTTTAGGGTGCTGCGTAGGATAAAATAAGAAAAATTGGTCAAATAGCTGTCATCTTCATGAACTGGGTTAAAATCCATCTGTTTAGGGAATTTCTCACAGAGAAACAATATACTATTATAGGTCTATCCTGCTTTTTGAACAACTGGAGAATCTAGATAAATTTTTCATCTATAACAATAGCTTATATAGATACATATTGCAGTATATTCTGGCAATTTGCATATTCAAGAGCTGATACAAAATTTTAGTTTAACAGATATATTCTTTACTTACAGCCAGATAGCAATTTTTTGCTTTCATCATATTTCTCTTTCACAGTGTCTGGGTTTTCCATTAAAGTCAACAGGATTTTGCAACTGGAAAGCGCATGAGTTTAAAAGTATACCTCATGACATGAATGTAGAAGAAATGGCTTCCCAAATATTTTACAGAATTTAATTATTATTTTAAAATAATTTTTGGGAAAGTAACCTACAGTAAACAAAGATGTGTTGTTACATAAATAAACAATGAGACAATTACAGCCTCTTCATGGCGACCATATTACTCATGCACCTCTAACGAAGCATTACTAAGCTATCACAGGGACATAGCCTGATGTGTGCGATTAACAAAATACTACTCATAAATAGCTAATGAACAATGATGGTCCTTTAAAAATTCTGCATATCCTGCTATATTGAGAGTTACGGGTTTTGTTGCTTTCTAAGGAACACATTAACCACTCAGTTGCACGCTGAAAAGGAGAGTATTAAATAGCACAATGCAGCTATTTGCATTTTTGCCTTCTACAGACCATGCTTTTGAAAATACAAACGAACTCTCATGGAAGTCTACCAATGAAGAATACATTACAGCTTGTGCTGCACTCTATTTGAAAGACGGTGTCTTGAGATGTCACCAGGGTGCAGGGGGAATATGACAGAACAAATGATCAAAAATTATTTTCATGTAAAACGCAGCCATGAAATCTCTGAAGTGGCATTAGGTACAAAAGGCTGGGGTTAGTAATGATTGTGGTAGATCTTTTATGTTAAAAAACCAGTAATTTCCTTCAGGTGACATACATATTTGGCAAACATATTCTGGAGAAGGCAAGTGAGTGGGATGGATGGCCAACATATGACAGTAGACAATAAGGTACATTTATAATGACAATTTTTGGTATGCAACTGAGGAACATCCTGTTAGTCAAACTAAATACAACTTCAGAATATACAGTTAATGTTGGGACTTTAACAGCAGAACAGTTTGTGTTGCTCTGCCTATGTGAGCAGGCTCCTCCAGCGGATGAGGCAGTCTATATAACAGTATATGCAAACTATAGGCTTGCAGGGTGAACTCTGCTAAGCTCTTACTACCATGTTGTAAATAAATTGACAAGTATTTGAAAAGTGGTATGAAGGGACCTATTTAGATTAATCCATGGAATAGAATGATGAAATATAAGGGGGGAATGTTATTATTTCTATTTCAGTGCTATAGATGAACTAAATTTTATCGCATCTACAGTTCAAACTCACAGCAAACCCTTCTTGTATACTTTTGGTGAGATAAATTCTTCCCAAATGATATTCCACCTCCAACCTAATCTCCTTCATGGATAAATTTACTCAAAGGGCAGAATTCCTGATGGCTGGAATAATAGCATTATTACAATCAATATTTTTTGGATGAATATTGGATCTGGAACATATGAAAGCAAGCTATAAAGCACAGGGGAAAAAAACCTTGCTTATCATTTTCAGTAGTAACCCAAGTACAGCCCTTCATCTGTAATGAATTATAGAGCAATTCTCCGAAATCATCTGTATGAAGTCAGCTATGACACTGTCAATTTAAAAAAATTTGCTAGTTTTGAGCTACAAATTGAGTTTTTATTGTGATAAATTAAAATCCAATAGTAGCCTACAAGAGACTGAACATATAGAAGCCTGCATTTTTTCAGAGTATTTTTTTCTCTTTTCTATCCCATCAGACTGCCATTGTGGCAGACATGATAGCAGTAGCCAATGATAAAAGAAAGCACACTCTAAGAGAGGTAAATAACCTTTCCAAATAAACAATAAATGAGCATTGTGCCCCAAAATATCTGTTTGGGAATCCCAAAATTATGGAAATCCAACTAAAGAGAAAGCACTGTGGGGGACAGGGAAGGCAGTTAAAGGAGCAAAAAGCAAATGCAAGATTATCCAGGCTGTTCCCTGTTAAGGGCTTCTTTTTTTTCCCCCTGTTGCACAAATGTGAATGTCACGTCTCCAAACTTTACAAACTCTAATACTGATACCAGAAGATCTGTGTGAGCAAAATTTTTGCTGCCCCTTTCCTTTCTGTCCCATCAAAAGAGCCAGGGCTGAGCAATTGTCCATCCCCAGTCTTGCCAGCTTGCTGGATTTTCTCTAGTGCTTCTAAAGCAAGAACAGGATGATCAGTGTCCTGCATCGCCGAATTGCACCATCCTTATTTTACTTTATAGGAAGCTCCACACTATAGCAGTAGTGCAGCTTTCTTTGGGGGTGACTTCAGCACACAGACATCCACATGAGACTACACAGAGGGTATTACTTACTCCTACGACAGCTGACATCTCTTAGTATTACACCAGGACGAGCCAACGCTGTATGGATGAGACACAGTGCATCACCCCTAAATACTTGTCTCTTGTGCGGTGGAAAGCCCCGTGCCTCAGGAGTGCTCCTGCGGGCTCAGAGAGCCCAGGGCCACTGTCGGGGTCTGCCCATCACCTGCTGCTGGGCGTAGTTCAGATGTTGAGATTGCCTGGGACTACCAGCAGGAGCGAGAACGAGATGGCAACTGCAGGCTGGCGAAGCAGAGACAGGCTGGATGAGAGAGACTAGGAGAGGAGCGGGTCAAGGACATGAAACTTTGGGACACGGAGAGGCAAAAGCCTAAGGGATGGCGGCTGTGAAGAACCGGCAGAGGAGTTCATGCACCCTTGCTTCAAAAGCCTGGCATGAGAAACACGATTCTCCTATTTCGAAAAAACACATAAAAACTGATGTTGAAAGCTCCCCACATCCCTCTGTCACAGTCCTGTTTTCAAGGAGGACAACTCAATATTCCTGTCCATCACTCCGGCAGCTCAGGGGCAGATGCCTGGAAGGTGGATTTGAAGGTTTCAGTCTAAGCCTCCGTGAGTGAGTGACAGGGTTACCGTAAGGATGATATAGTTGTGTCAGATTTAGAATACAGGGTGTCAAAGTTATGAAATGAAGATGACTTGTTCTCACTCCCCACCTCCCCAGCTGCAGACAGGAGAGCGTGCGGGACACTGCAGGAAAGGCAATTTGGCTAAACCACACCTTTGTTTCCAAATGCATCCCCTTTTCCCTCTTTAATTTATGAAAATAGATCCTATTTTCATACAGGATCAGCAACCTCAGCAATGTTCTCTTAAACACTGCTTTTGTACGACTACTTTTACACATGCTGTACACGTGTAAAGTATTCATACAAAATGAGCTTTTCATTACTGACTACTTGTATTACGTATCAGTGAGCTCAATGACATTGATTTTCTAATAATATAAATTAACTGGCCAAGATAATTTCATTTATCATCAGTAGGGTTTTATTTCTGGCATCATGTTAAATAGTTAATCTTTCAAAAGATTAAATCAAGAGCTTTTTAAAATTCGAGGCAGAGCTTTAACTGCTGTAAAAATCTTCTTAATTAGGATTAAAACAGTTTGTGCGTCGTTGCTTTATATCTAAGTAGTATAATATTTTGCTTTGGTTTCTTCTTTCAAAGCAATTTTAAAAATCAAACGTAATATTGCTGTGGCAAGAACTGTGTAAGGCATGGCAGTTTCCTGCAGCTTCCTGGAGCAGATGCTACTGGACGAGTCGCTGCTCGGCAGACTCAAACAGCAACCTCAGACTTTCAGATACCTTTTACCTCCGATTCCATACGATATATACTTTTTCTACTGTTGGTGACACAAAAGCCCCGATTCTTACGGTTACTGCACACCTGACAGAAGACCGTCACGGCCGTTAACAGGAGTACATCGCATGATGGTGACTACAACTGCGTTCCTGTGGAACTGTGGACCTGACAGAATTCTTAGGATTCCCTTGGGACATCTTCAGGGCAATCCCAGCTAATCCCAGTCTGTTGCTCCCAGGAGCTCCCCAGCTCCCAGTGCCCTTCCTCGCCATCTCTAGCATCAGCGGGGAAAACAAGCTTCACTCTCCTGGAGTTGTCTGCAGCTCCCCGTTTCAGCTTGTTTTCTGCCCCTCAGCTTCCCGAGACACAAAGTGCCCAATCCAAGACAATTCTAGCCGCTAATCCTAATCCCTTGTCATTAGACTCTCAAAAGTCACTTGGTACTGCCAGGGAGTCTTAAGCAGCATCCAGGGGACTGGTGCAGTTGGGCGGAGGCTGGATGAGAAAACCCGGATGAGCGCAGATACCCTGGACTGCTAAAAACAGTGGGCTGGTACTTCCAAGGAGCAATTTTTTACCCGGCAAAGGGAAAACAAATCCCTTCTTGCCACTTTCTGGACTCAGAGCTGTGAGTGTTTATGCACGTAAGGAGCATCCGTGTACTCAAGTGGTTCTGCAGAAGTATCTAGGACAAGGCTTTGCAATAAACCACGTCCCCGTGCTACACTTTATACCTCAGTCACCTAATGGCTTGCTCTGATATACGACAACCCTTTATCAAGCTTGTCAGATTCTTCACGTGTGCTTACGCTGGTGAGATATTACTGCCCCGCCAGGAAACGCTTTTAAAGAAACATCCATGAAAAGATTCAATTTTCTTCCATCACATGATTATTTTACTTACCCCTGTCTTTTCATCGAAGATTTTGATTCCCCCAAAGGAGACTGTTAAGAAGATTTTCTGTTTATGCTCTCCTTTCGAACGAGCCGCAGCAACAATTCCCTGTTGAAACAAAGAACAGTTTGGCTGGTTTCATTACTCTTCTGGGTGCCACAGCAGAGCACAAAGATTTGCTTGTGGACAATTTACCACTTTTCTAGGAAAACTTAAGGGCTTTCCAGGAACAGTCCAACTCTTACTTCTGGCTTCCTCCCTTTTTTCAAGGCACCACATCTCTTTATGCTACCCAGAGAGCATTTCAAATGTGCTCCTACTTCCAACCCCCGCACCAGCTAATCCTCCATGAAATTTGTTTTCATGGAAGCTGAAGGTCATTCCTAGCACACCTTTCCCAGCTATAAGCCGTTTTGTTTTCTTTTTATTACGAAGAGGGAAAAAAAGCCAACAACTTTAGCTTACTTCATCGGCACACTTATCTGGAATAAGCAAATTGAGCTTTTTATAGAAGAAAAATATTCTTTTGAAAAGAACTACACCTCTGCTGTAAAAAGCTGGTATTGAGGGTTAGTTTTTTTCATGATCTCAGGCTTTTACTTCATAAGTGAACTTGCTGCCATGCATCTCATGTATTACTATCCCACAGCGTAACCATAACAGTAACTTCTATTTCCACCTTCTCAGGAGTCTGCCCTGGCGAACAACACTGTACTAAAGATCAAATGTAAGCAATTGCGCTAGTAAATAAATAAAAATATTTAGCCGTTATCTGGCGCTCTGCAATTTCAACATGTTTTAACAACCACTAACTTATGCTTGAAGACCTTCATGAGGTTGTCGTTCTCATTACAACTCATTACATGGAGTCATTTGTCAAAAGTCACCCCCAAACTTTATGCCTGGCCTTAAAACTCGTGTTGCTAGACACTAGGTTTCCAGAGCCCGTAACTTCGTGCTATGCTGCGTTACACACAAACATGAATTTCTAATACTCCCTTCCCGTAATAGTTTTAGTCATCACACAATGCTGTTTAGATCAATCTCGCCACTATGCAAACAGGTATCGGGCGTCTGGGAGCTGTGCAAATGGTAATCCATGGAGGAGAGAGACGAAAAGGCTTCTGCAGCAGAACAGTGTCAGTGTTAGACAATACAGCTTAGACTGGATATTAGGAAAAATTTCTTTACTGAGAGAGTGGTCAAACATTGGAACAGGCTGCCCAGGGAGGTGGTGGAGTCGCCATCTCTGGAAGTGTTCAAAAAAACATGTAGGCACTTCAGGACATGGTTTAGGGGGCATGGTGGTGGTGGGCTGATGGTTGGACTTGATGATCTTGAAGGTCTTTTCCAACCTTAATGATTCTGTGAATTCCCACTAATTGATTCTAGGAACTGTGAAATGATGAGAAATATCCAGTATACAATTAAAACAGATCGAAATATTGTGGCAGATGTGACAAATCAACAGTGCACTTTTTAGAATAGTTTTTGCTTGTCATAAAATGTTCATAACTGATTTGTACATTATTTACCAGATCTTTATTTTAGATTGCTGAACCATAAGATGCATGTCACCCTTTGCTGTTTATTCATGAATAACTATCTACTCCCAGTTCCTCAGGACTGGAACCCTGCTAGTTGGTAATATGAAAGATACTATTTAGTGATTTCCTCTCATGGAAAAAATAGAAAATGGGAAATCCATCAGCTCTCTTAGTAGCTGGGGAGAGGACTGAAAGGAAAAAAATGGGGAAAAAAAGACTGCGGAGGGTTTACTCCTGGACCTAGGAGTAACCCTACAATGTAGATGGGAAGGCAACAGCCAACACTGCACTCAAGAAAAACACAGTCCATCCTTCCTCCTCAACCACTCTGGGCTCCCCGACACTTCCCAGGGAGAGGTAAAGGATGCTTCCTATAGAGAGCTCTTAGGCTCTTTGAGGGTTGTAAGACAGACAGAGATATCTAGCATGCTCCAGAAAGTCCACCCTCCTACACCACTCGTGCTTTCAGACTCTGTCTACTCTCAGAGTTTGCAGTCATCTGCTTTTGTCACTGCTCCGTTTCTTTCCCCAAACGCTGGGGACTCCTCTTTATCTTCTCATGCTCTGTCCTCTCAGTGCACTGCCTCCTGATACCGTAACCCAGCAATGCTGCCTTTACAGGTGCAAGACATTATGCTTCCTGCGAGGACACCAGTTCCCCCCATATCTGTCTACCTACACCCAACAAGGTCACTCACCCCTTCCTGTCTGTCCTGACAGGAGGGAACGGTCAAAGGCAGGGCTGTAGTTGATTAGCACTGTCATATAAAATGTTCTGATACACCATTTTTCTTCATAGTGGTTTACCTCCCCTTTTGCATAATAAAATTATTCAATTTGCAGATGTGTTGCTTGTAATTTGTGGACGAATTGCAGTGGTGTCAATCATGAATAACTACCGAACTCAGAGATAATGTATTAAAATTAAACAGGGATAAGCAATACCAGCCAAGAGTTCATGTAAAATTGACTGATTTCAATACATAATTAACCAGAGTGTGACTCCGTGTCACAAAAGGAGAATGACTAAAAGTTCCAGCTGAAATTCACTCCCTTTGACTCCATAATATTAAACATTAGAAGTTTCATTGCACCTTGAGCTTCATCATGGAGTCTTGGCATAACTTGTCTCCTCGTGCGGCAGAAACCTCATCTATCCCAATCAGTTTTGCTTTATATCGGACACCGTCACCTTTAAACCGCTTTATTAAAGTGGCTTCACTGCGATCCTGACCTGAAAAGACATAAGGGAAACAAGGACAATTGCGTGAGCACAAAGGAAAATAAACGAATAAATACTCGCAATTAAGTGGCAAATTAGATCTAAGTCCTATCTCAACACCTAAACATGAGAACGTTTCAATAAAATTAGAAGAAAAGTACTAGTTCAATAAAACCTTTTGGCCTCACGAGCTCAAATGAATTCACAGTGGAATTGTTGCCATACAAAATCTTCTGCACGAAATTTGCACACAAATTAGGTTTACAGAAATGAGATAAGCCTGAGTCAGACCTCATGGATCTGAAAACTTCTGATCTGTACGGGTTGTTTTAATCCCAGTACACTTGAGAATTCTTCATTTTGCAGACAAAACTTCAGTAGAAACATGCTACTATTTCCTCATATACCGACTTATCTAACTGCATTAGCAATATTTATGCTATTATCATTTGAATGCTAAAAACCAAATTATGTTATTTGCCTATAGAATATTGCTGCTCTAAAACCTCCACAAAAAATGCTGTCTCCTTGTTCTATTCTTTCTGCTTACAGACATACACAGAAAAAACATAACCAGCCACATCGGCTCTCACAGGCTCACCCTGAAGAGATTAAAAAAACGGCATAAGGTGTTTCTTAATAAAGAAGCGATCGAGGATAAGATAGCACGGTACTGGTAAGGCCAATGTACCTAAATTACAACGCCTGAGCCACATGACAATGACACTACAGCAATCCGTGAACGGGATCGTTTTGTCAGGAAGACATTTTCCCCCGAGTATCTGCAGAAGAGTTTATTCTGTGCCTTAGCTGGGAAGAAATGTGTTAGTTAGGGAATCAGTCGTCTTAAAATTTATTAAAGATGTATTTTTGCAGCTGTCTGTGGAATTTCTTGCTAGGATCTCAAAAAACAGCAGTGAACCGTAAAAAATTGCAACTGAACACGTAACCAACCAAACAAGGTTTCCAAGGCATAAAGAAGCAAGCAAAAATGTGAGATCTTAAAGAATTTGAAGTTTCTCGGATCCAACAGATTCCACCAGAAAACCTGCCTAAACATGGACTGATGTTGCTAAGATTTATACTATTACCACCTAGCTCTAGTCATAGAATTTGCCCCATCCTTCTAGCTATTGTAAAAAATGAAGAGTTAGCGCCTGCTATAAATGAACTATAGGTGTCCAACACTAGGTTCTTACCTATATTTGAGAATTTTGGCCCAAATATTCACCAGAGCTCATTCCTATTTGAAAAGTCAGATTAAAGCACAGAAAAAATAGTAAAATCTGCTGCTGTGCAGCTAGTTTTTGATAAGAGAAGTACAGAAGCTGTGGAGGAAAAAGCTATTTTATTTTGCATTTCTATTAAAAGCACCTTTTTCAGCAGTCAGCACTTGGGTCAACTTTATTAATGTTACACACCCATCAAGTGGATGAATAAACTAGGTTCAAAACTGTGGAACGGAAATTTTTACAACACCATTATAGGAAAAACTAGAGCGCATACATGACCAGCAAAGAGTACTTCCAAGTGAAGATACTCATGTGGTTCTCCTTCCCCGACAGCACGGCACAGTCCCCGCTGTGAACTCATGATGGACTAAATGTGTGACAAAAACTAGAGCTATTTTAAGCATATCGAAATCTTCAAGAGTCTTTACAAACACTTTCTCTTTCAATGAAAAATACCAGCTCAGACCAATGTTTTGATGCCTCATTTATAGCCCCTTAAAAATAAGGCAGCTGATTAAGTGCTGCTGTGATACTTCAGCGGCCACCCAACTGTTTCCCTTGATTTGTTTGCACTCCTGCTCCCTCAAAAAGAATTAAACAGTGTGTTAAAACTTCATGCTCTTACATTATATATTATTAAAAAAAAAAAATCTAATGAGCCACAAATGGTAAATCAGAAACTCAAAGTACTATAATATCATTCCCCAAGGAAACGCCAAGGCAGATGTTGGCACCGTCAGCTAAAAGCAATGAAAAACCATTTTCCATTTTCAGCTCCAGAGCGGGGCAGGAGGGAGAACATCTGGAGAAACAACAAAGTACAATGATAACAGTGGACTTTTCCATATGTCTTTTATACATGCAGAGATATCCTGTTGATTTGCAGTAAATAAAACCCAATTCTAACAGCTTTCCTGCCAACAATTTTGAACCTTACGTCTTCGTTACAGCCAAAGGCAGCTGTTAGCTAATGGCATGAGCATGTAAGTGTTCAAGAGTGTTTCCTGGGTCCAAGTCATGATGCAAGCGACCTTGCATTCATGAGTTATTTGAACATTTATACTTATGCCAACCTCTGATCTATTTTGCTGCACATAACTAAATCCTTGACATTAATAGCTCATTGAAACACAACTTATGGCTATGTTTGTTTACACACAAGTCCCGTGTTAATTATGACCCAGATTAAGTAGGATAAAGTGCTTTTGGGATAAATGACTGGGAAAAATCATCAACCTGAAAATGATGTGGATATTTTAAACTGTGGTGGAAACTGCAAATTACTAGAGACTACAAATTCATCCGTAAAACCCTAGAGCATATGTCCCATGAAAAAGCATAGAGAACGCACACACACACTGCCCTATATTATAAATCAGCCATCTGCAACAGTCACCATTTCTCAGCATATATCCACATCTCCCCCGGTCTATGCTCATGCTGTACTTCCAAATTTTGGTGCTGTAATCAGCACTGAAAAACTTTCTACCTGCTTGGAAAATTACCGTATGACAAGCACTGTCAGTATGGTCCATTTTATAGCCCTCATGAGGTGTGAGATTTATGTACAGTGATGCTTCATTTGCAGACTGCACACCTATAAGGCAAGATAGTCCAGACTCTCATAAACATCTCATCATTAAAACAAAAAAGATTTTTTTCAATGACAGTTCTTGGACAAGGTTCTTTCTGTGGTTGAAACTGCATAAATAAGAGATGCCTGAATTATGAGGCTGTAATTCTTCTTAAGCTTCGGAGGAGGGTGAGGGCTAACCATTAAACCACTAAGCCAGGAAGCTGTGCCCGTGCCAGAAACCCGCCCAGGAAAGTGCTGCCGCTTTCCTTCCACGTAACAAGCCGAGTCGGTATTTTCTCCTTTGCGGCTCCCCCCTTTGGTGGGCGCGGAGACCCGCTGCCGCGCGCGGCTCTCCAGCCACCCCCTCCCACCGCGCTCGCTCGGTCCCAGCCTGCGGGAAGGAGGATTATCCCGGGTGCGGGACCGCACTGACTGCTGGAGCTCAGTTTTATTTGAATAACGAGCCACAGCATCTTGGGGCTTTCATTCTCAGCTTGCCTTCCTCAAACCACAAATAACATCTCAAGGGTAGGAAAGGGGACATTCTAAACCAACTACGAAGATTTTATGGAAAACTGAAGCTTGAGGTCTCAAGTCATTACTAGACCATAATCTACAGCAAAATTAGAAGCACATGTTTAATGACAACCGCTTCTTTCCACACCACCTATTTCCTGAGATCTTATTTTAGGATTTCTTGACCGCAGAGAAGACTACAGCTGCCAAAGCCACGCCAGGGGAGCAGCTGATGCCCTTCTCAGTTGTCCACTGTACCCTACGCAGGTAGGGATCTGCCTGGCGTTCTTCATCAGAGGACTAGCACCGCTAGGTCATTCTAAAATGATCCTGAATTAAATTTTCGTATTATAACTTTTTTAACTTCAAGACCAATGAGTATTTTCCAATGGTTTGCTCTAAAATGCTTTCATAAATATCTTTTCATAAGCAAAGAAATATCCTAAGCATATGTTGGCAACTCAACACAAGCACTTCACAATCCAAAATGGAACCAGATTATCAACAAAACTAAAATCAATTTGATTCTCATGCCCCAAACTGAGAAAAAAAGGCAAAAGCTAAAAGCCCACTAACAACAACATCGCACAAATTCGATTTAGAAAGGTGATCACTTTTAATTAGAAAATGTGCTGCTGTTGACACAGGGGAAGAAATGTTTGTTTGCAGCATATAGATTTATAATCCTCAGAGGCTCTTAAAATGTAAATGTAAGAGTAATTATTTTATCAACTTCTATAGACGTCACCGTTCACCTTTAAGCCATATGTGTTCCAGCTGGAGCCACTGCTCCTGCCTAAGTGGGAAAACATGACCTTTGCTGCCGAGTTGCGAGATTGCACTTGGACTTCACAGTCTTTGAAGAGAACAACCAATCCCTGAGCTGGGTGACGAAATGTGCTTCTGAGCTCGCATCTAGAGAGAGGCTTATCATCATGATCAGCGTTAAGGTATTTTATCCATCTCACTAAATACACTGTAAAAGTAATAAACAAGGTTTTTAACACAGCCAGTCATTTTTATTAAAGGCAATATACCTTAATTAAACCCAGATTCTGTAAAGCAAGCTAGAGACAGACATGAACCCAGAACCTTGCGTACTTCACGCAAGTACCTCAAGTGCACTGAATGCCAAGACGTGACTAGTAACCAGTCCAAGAGGAGCATAAGCTACTGTGGAAGACCCAGGTCAGAGCAGCTCAAGTTGAGTGCTGGAGGTGGGTGCTCCCCAGGCCATACCCATCAGCGGTGGTCACTGGCGCCGCTCAGGGGACATTACCGTCTCAGCAGCCTACCAGCTGCCATCAACCCGGACTCTGATGTCAAAAAGGAGAGTGAGTTGTGTTTGCATTAGGTTATCCGTCTCCAAGTAATGCTCTTAACTTTGCAGACTAAAGCTCACGCAAGGCTTCCTTCCCAGGCACTGTGTATTTTGGTGAGCATCTCAAGGAGACTTATCCTCACTCTTGGTACAAGTCAAGGATTACACTCGATTTTGGCTCTTAGCCCAACAGAGCACCAAGCTAACATTGTATTAATACGCTAACATTTAGAGCAAATGCTGTTCATTCTCCCAGGGGATATGTAAGTAAGCATATTTCATAAATAGAAAAGGAAAATAAACCAAAGCATCACTGCAATAAGCACACTGTCGCTTTTTCTCTATGGCCTTGTAACACACTACGCAT